TTTTCTTGCATTAAAATGATGCCAATGTAGCCCTTTTTCCTCCCTACTTTCCAATTTTATCCTGAAATTTCCCATAATGGTGTACATTTCTTTAAACCAGCTTAATTTTTTGGTCATACATACTTTTTTGATACATATATAATGAAAATATTGATATTTCAATAAATAAAGAAATCCTGAATTTGTTTCATGTAGTGAATATCACAATGTTATGAAAGTCCCAGATATAGTGAAAGATGATGTGTGTGTGTTTGGGTTTGTTAACCCTCGCCACCGGAAAGAGACCATATGGGCGAGCATATACTTCATTTATAACCTTTTAAAAAGGGGGAGCTGATGTTTAATTACTAACTGTTATATCCGTACATGTGTTTATGTGCATACCATATCCCCCATGACAGGGTAGTCTCTACGTACAACCTCTGCCATGGGAGGAAGATGGGGCAATCCCATACTAAGTTTGAGAAATCTAAATTTAATAATTAAAGGCACTTAATTTAAAATCGGCCAAGACGTTTATATAGGTTATCATCTTTTATAACAGGACTAATTAATATTTAATATAGCTAAAAAATTTTAAAATATTACCTATAATTGTAGAGTTTGCATACTTGCGAAGAAGGCATGTCTGGAACGTTTTCTGACCAATTCATTATGGGCTGACTGTTATTTATGTTGGTTTCTATTTAAATGTTATAAACCGTATACATTGGGATGTATATAATTAATTACATGTTTGTAATAAGCAGAGTTTGTTTTAAATTTTGTAAATTTTGTAAGTTCTACCGAACACCCGCTTTATAAAGTTAATTTTGATTGGTTTAGAGAGGATTGCCTCCTTTGACTCATTGGTCTAAAATTTCTTCTTTCTAAATAAGGAGGTCAATCCGATTTTCTTGAAGTTTGTGCAAGTTTGTGTGTTGACCTATTTCGACAAGTTTGTCGCGCGGACTGGATAGAAATTTTGTGGGTGCCAGTTGCATTCCAATGTATACGAGTTTTTACCAACTTTATTTCTAAAGTGAAAGATGAGAAAACCGGACGCTGAGAAAATCAGAACTCTCTAAATACCGGGCGAATAATACAGTATCATTGATCATTGACAATACCAGAATCTGTAAAAACCAAATATCAGACGGTTGATAGGGGACTACAAAGTCAATTATATAGATAATAACCCAACACAACTGGACGCCAAAGGTGTGAATAACCTTGTGTACTTGTCAATTTGTTGTGTCTAAAAATCTTCGTGAGCGTTAACGGGACAATGATTGTCTGATTTATTTATTATGTCCATTTTCACAGTTTGAGTTATTGTAAAGCATAGAAATCCATTTTATATTACTGCAAAAATGCACAAAGAATTAGTAAGTTAAAATGAGTATTAATTCAATTCATAGAGTATTTTTATACTGCGTTGCTTTTTATGCTCCCCGAAAAATTTCGAGGGAGCATAATTATAGTCGGCGCCTTGTCCGTCTGTCCGTCCGTCCGTTGTCTTGTCCGGAGCATAACTTGAAAACCCTTGGAGATAATTTGTTGAAACTTCATACAGTGGTAGAGGGCATCGAGGGGGAGTGCAGTGTCAAAGAACCATAACTCTATTTTGCCCGGTTTTTGAATTATCTCCCCTTATAGAAAAATCTTGTCCGGGGCATAACTCTAAAACTATAAGAGATATCAACATGAAACTTTGTAGGTGAATAGATCTCAATGCGTAGATGTGCAGTGCATAAGAACAATAACTCTTTTCATCCTAATTTTGGAGTTATTGCCCTTTGTTAATTTTAATACTTTGAACTTTGTCCGGAACATAACTTGAAAACCCTTGGAGATAATTTATTGAAACTTCATACAGTGGTAGAGGGCATCGAGGGGGAGTGCAGTGTCAAAGAACCATAACTCTATTTTGCCTGGTTTTTGAATTATCTCCCCTTATAGAAAAATCTTGTCTGGGGCATAACTCTAAAACTATAAGAGATATCAACATGAAACTTTGTAGGTGAATAGATCTCAATGCGTAGATGTGCAGTGCATAAGAACAATAACTCTTTTTGTCCTAATTTTGGAGTTATTGCCCTTTGTTTATTTTAATACTTTGAACTTGAACTTTGTCCAGAACATAACTTGAAAACCCTTGGAGATAATTTGTTGAAATTTCATACAGTGGTAGAGGGCATCGAGGGGGAGTGCAGTGTCAAAGAACCATAACTCTATTTTGCCCGGATTTTGAATTATTTTCCCTTATAGAAAAATCTTGTCTGGGGCATAACTCTAAAACTATAAGAGATATCAACATGAAACTTTGTAGGTGAATAGATCTGAATGCTTAGATGTGCAGTGCATAAGAACAATAACTCTTTTTGTCCTAATTTTGGAGTTATTGCCCTTTGTTTATTTTAATACTTTGAACTTGAACTTTGTCCGGAACATAACTTGAAAACCCTTGGAGATAATTTGTTGAAACTTCATACAGTGGTAGAGGGCATCGAGGGGGAGTGCAGTGTCAAAGAACCATAACTCTATTTTGCCTGGTTTTTGAATTATCTCCCCTTATAGAAAAATCTTGTCTGGGGTATAACTCTAAAACTATAAGAGATATCAACATGAAACATTGTAGGTAGATAGATCTCATTGAGTAGAGGTGCAGTGCAAAAGAACCATAACTCTGTTAAGCCTTATTTTTGAATAATCTCCCCTTTTAGAAAAATCTTGTCCAGGACATAGCTGTAAAACTATAAGAGATATCAACATGAAACTTTGTAGGTAGATAAATCTCAAAGGGTAGATGTGCAGTGCACAAGAATCATAACTTTACCTTGCCTAATTCTGGAGTTATTGCCCTTTGTTTATTTTTACTTTTTGAATTGTCCAGGACATAACTCGGAAATCATAAGAGATATCATCAAGAAACTTTGTAGGTTGATAGATCACATTGATTAGAAGTGCAGTGCAAAGAACTGTAACTCTGCCTTGCCTAATTTTGGAATTATTGCACTTTGAACTTTTTTCACGGACATAACTCTGAAACTACAAGAGGTGTACTTTCCTGTGTCCAAAACCTATTCGGGGAGCATCACCCGGCTCAAACCGGGCTCTTGTGACTATATTCATTTCCCAAAATATCAACGAAACAGAAAAGACATATATCGGCACCAAGTTATATTCCATCGCCAAAATGAGCTCTTCGAGAGCTTTCTATAATTGACCAAGTTGAATTAATTAAAGACAGTGAAACTTTGCCAAGACCTTTAAATAAGGAATCGGCAATATTTACAGAGGGTGGGGGGGGGGGGGCATTATTAAAAATAAACAAAGTAAACTATGTTCGTTAAATCATTAACCAGTACCCAAATGTAAACATGTGTGTATATTAGGTTTGTATTTTATGAGATAACTGCTGTTTGTTTTAAATCAAATTTTTATTGTATTCAGATGCAATAAAGTGACAAAAATAAATAAAACATGTTACTTTGTAATTCATCACTTTCTTATTAAGCAATATACTTACATATGATCATGAAAAAGCAAATATACAGCATCTGTTGTAAGTTGATGCTCGGTAAATAGGATTCTAAAGGGGACATTAAGAAAACTGGACCGCTAAGAAAACCAGACAAAACCCTTGGTCTGAAAGCCATCCGGTTTTCTCAACTTTCACTGTAATATCATTGGAAAATATAAACCAAGTACGATGTATATGTCTTTGGCTGATGACTGTTTATAACATGGCTGACAATGAATCACAGATTATATAAGCTGATAGTGTCAGATTTTTGATAAATTTTAATTATAATCTATTTATGTTGTTGTTGTTGTTATGAAACATCTGTCATGGTATGTATAATGACTTCTATCAGGGAATATTGACTAATAAAGTAAAAATAAACTAGATGTACATTTAGTCAAAATGATAGGTGTCCAAATGTTTAATTTCCATTTTGATGCAGATAATAAATGGGGTCATCCCTATTTTAAGGGACAGTCTCCCCTATTTTAGGGGCAGTTTCCACTATTTGAGGGGCTGTCATCATAATTTTAGGGGCTGTCACCACTTTTTGAGGGGCTGTCACCGTTTATCTTAGGGGCTGTCACCCCTATTTTAAGGGACTGTCCACTATATAAGGGGCTGTCATCATAATTTAAGGGACAGTCACTCCTATTTTAGGGACAGTCACACCTATTTTAGGGGCAGTTTCCACTATTTGAGGGACTGTCATCATAATTTTGGGGGCTGTCACCACTTTTTGAGGGGCTGTCACCGTTTATCTTAGGGGCTGTCACCCCTATTTTAGGGACTGTCCACTATATAAGGGGCTGTCATCATAATTTTAGGGACAGTCACTCCTATTTTAGGGACAGTCGCTACTATTTTAGGGCAGTGACCCCTATTTTAGGTGCAGTCACCACTATTTTAAGGGCTGTCACTACTATTTTAGGGGTTAAGTCACTACTATTTTGGGGGCAGTCAACCCTATTTTAGGGGCTGTTTCCACTATTTGAGGGGCTGTTATCATAATTTTAAGGACAGTCACCCCAATTTTAGGGGCTGTCACCACTATTTTAGGGGCTGTCACCCCAATTTTAGGGGCTGTCATCACTATTTTAGGGACAGTTACCCCTATTTTAAGGGCTGTCACCACTCTTAGGGGCTGTAAATATCATCATAGGCTGCTGACAATTGAGCTCAAAGAGTTGAGTTAACATATTAATGGTCTTAATAATAATTGATAGTACATGTATTTTTAGTTTACTGACACACTTAATGTTCTCTGATCCCATTTACAAAAGAAGTTTTATGTCGTTTATAGATCAGAATTTTTTATCTTGATCACAATGAACATTCTTTGTTCCAATTTTTAACAAAAAAGTATAATATTGTTTAATTGGGGTTAGTGATTTATTGGAGAAGGGCTCCTCTTGTGCTGACATACCTAGAATGAAGGAGAGAAAAAATCTATAAGTCAGTTTAGCATTATTGATTGGTGTGCTATGTGTTTATATGGTATCATTGAAGTCTTGTAGCTCTGAAGTGTACCACTATCCTACTACGTATATACCCTCTCTGTAAACAGTCTCCGCAGCTGATACAGTGGGTCACGATATCAATATCCGTAGATCGTGTGAATCCTGAAAAGGGATAGAGTTTTTAAGTATGTATTTTGCTTGCTATTTTCTTTACCTTGCGTTGTCATAAATTGACACTTTGTTATAGTGATTGGTGTATTATCATAAAGAGATGGCAAGTTCGGAATATTGGACGTTGTTTTATAAGTGGAATTTTCAATATTGCTTTCTAAAATACTGAAGGATATTGTTTTGTAGGTATATGTCATTTTGTACTAATAAGTTCACTTAAATGAAATTTTGTAGTACGTGTCTATGTAAAATGATTAAAATCGGCATTGTTTATATTTATATAAGGCACAAGACTCAAGTCAAGTTACAGATGTTTTACTGGTTGTTTTCTATCAGATGAGTCTTTATTAACTAATTCAGTAGTAAATAATAGGAAAGTGTTTGATTAGATTATAATTTGGTCACCTATGGAATAAAGTATAGGTAAGATTGAATAAAGTAACTTAATTTTACACTGTGGCTCTATTGTATTTATTGGATCTTGCAATTTGCTGAGGGTATTATTATTAATTGTTCCATTACTTTGTGAACCATTTCATTCAATCCATAATGTTCAAACCATAACATTCAGATATTGTGACACTAAAATTTTTAATTGGCAATTACATACACAAAAATTACCAAAATAATATATGTGACTGTTTCGTGCTGTCATTGAAGAAGCCTATGACAAACTGGTACTGAAACAAAGGAAAAACAACTAACAAAGCAAAAAATACTCCCAGAAACAAACAAGATACTAGTATTAAACGATGGTTAATTGTAAAAAAATTCTGATGGTGGTGGTGTTGGTGTTAGTAGTTTACCCTCCGGATCATCACACTATACAAGCTATACTTTGCATTCACCAGAGCACAGTTCAGCCACAATTGTTGTATACATGCTACAGCAGAGATACATTTCAAATGACTGTAGAAAAGTTTTCATGATTAATCACAACAAAAGTGACTTGCAATTTCCTGGAATCAAATTCTAGTCACCCGATTCACAGTCCAATGCGAGACTCTCTATAAAGATAACTGGACATTTAAGAAAATTCTTTGCTAAAATATCAGCTATATTCTACTCAGTAACATACTGTAATTGATCCAGATGTACATGGGTTTAACGGGCAATCTGTTTTTATAATGATGAAAGCTGTTGATATTGATGAAATAAATTGAAATAGCGTTCATGTAAGGAGAACTGAGCCTGAAATCTAATGAAAAATCCACAGAGAATGGGCCCAGTGGCCATGTTTATGTAAGGAGAACTGTTTATGTAAGGAGAACTGAGCCTGAAATCTAATGAAAAATCCACAGAGGATGGGCCCAGTGGCCATGTTTATGTAAGGAGAATTGAGCCTGAAATCTAATGAAAAATCCACAGAGGATGGGCACAGTGGCCATGTTTATGTAAGGAGAATTGAGCCTGAAATCTAATGAAAGATCCACAGAGGATAGGCCCAGTGGCCATGTTTATGTAAGGAGAATTGAGCCTGAAATCTAATGAAAGATCCACAGAGGATAGGCCCAGTGGCCATGTTTATGTAAGGAGAATTGAGCCTGAAATCACAGAGGATAGGCCCAGTGGCCATGTTTATGTAAGGAGAATTGAGCCTGAAATCTAATGAAAAATCCACAGAGGATAGGCCCAGTGGCCATGTTTATGTAAGGAGAATTGAGCCTGAAATCTAATGAATAATCCACAGAGGATAGGCCCAGTGGCCATGTTTATGTAAGGAGAATTGAGCCTGAAATCTAATGAAAGATCCACAGAGGATAGGCCCAGTGGCCATGTTTATGTAAGGAGAATTGAGCCTGAAATCACAGAGGATAGGTCCAGTGGCCATGTTTATGTAAGGAGAATTGAGCCTGAAATCTAATGAAAGATCCACAGAGGATAGACCCAGTGGCCATGTTTATGTAAGGAGAATTGAGCCTGAAACCACAGAGGATAGGCCCAGTGGCCATGTTTATGTAAGGAGAATTGAGCCTGAAATCTAATGAAAAATCCACAGAGGATAGGCCCAGTGGCCATGTTTATGTAAGGAGAATTAAGCTTGAAATCTAATGAATAATCCACAGAGGATAGGCCCAGTGGCCATGTTTATGTAAGGAGAATTGAGCCTGAAATCTAATGAATAATCCACAGAGGCCATGTTTATGTAAGGAGAATTGAGCCTGAATTCTAATGAAAAATCCACAGAGGATGGGCCCAGTGGCCATTGGATTATGTCTGTTGCCATCATTGACCACTAAGGGTTTGAAATCCAGTCTGATCAGGATCACCATTCAGAAATTCTTTTGTGAATATAAAAGTGAACTGTGATGATCCTGTGCAGACTAACAAATGTGCAGGCTGATCTGGATCTGCACTGGTCAAATACGCCTATAAGGGTAAAGGGTTAAAATATGGCCAGAAGGAGTTATGATGATAAATGTATGTTTTCATCACAAAAGATTAACTGGATATCTAATTGTTGTGTGGAAACTAAATCTTTTAACAATAATGACAAAGCAGTAATTCATATATCTTCTAAACTTGTATGTTTATGTCTGAAAGCCTATTCTTTGAGGTTAAAAGTGAAAATGTTGCTGTTTTCTCCATGATTTTGAGGATGGAATTTGTGACTCTTAAATTTATGTTTGATATAATATTATGCATATATGCGTATGGAGTAGTGAAATGGCTCCGTAAAATTCTCCAAGTGACATTTGCAAAGTTATTTTGATTCGCCAGAAATGTATTGGTCCCTGAGAGTGAGTCATAATCTACCTACCTTAAACTGCCCCTTATTGTTGTTGGTTCAAAATACACAAGACATTAGCTGGAAATTTGCCAAAATATGATGGCTGACAAGCAAGCCTAAGCAAAGCAGAATTTTCCTCATCAGAACAAACAGGAGTTTGTCTTTTTGTATTGAATTTGATGAAGAATTAGTATAATGTATGCTTATTCAACAAGGTTTATCAGTATAGCTGTAGATTTAGTTATAATTAATAGGGCTATTTTCAACCAAAAATCAGGGGGCAACAAAATCTGTTGTCTGTATTGCCCAGGTTGTCCCACAGCCAGTATGGACAAGTGCAGTTTTTATTAAGAATTTACTTTTATAGTGTCATACAGACAAGTAAAAAACAATTAAGATAAAAATAACAAGTAAGTCAAAATCAGATTTTGCCGGCACTGTTAATAAAATGGAAATATGGAAATATAACCTTTTTTGGAATTCCTCAGGGAATACTATAGCAAACTCATCATGTTTTTTATGAGCCAATTTATTCAGACAATTGAGCATTTTTCTTATGGTGTAATTTGATAAAGCTAGGAAATAAGTGATTTTCCTCCCTCATGTGGTTTTAGATAGATACATTAGTCTGTGTATGAATGTTTTGTTTTTGTAGGCAGTTGACCTTAAACCTGCTGCATTGCTTTAAAGGGACTTGTCAGTCTGGTCTAACCTCTATTTTTAGAACTGTCCAGTGTTACTATTTTTGGGATTATAATTATGAAGCTGATTGGCTTAAATAATGGTTTTAACCCTTTATTTCATATAGACATGTTTTGACGGCTTTTCGACCCCCCTTCCTTTTTAAGGCCTCAAACAGTAAAAAATTACCCTATTTAGGCCCCAAACACTGTATTTCAATTGGGAAATGTTGGTAAAAAAAGTGATCACTTTTTCAGCGCTGCCCCCCATCCAAAAGGTACATCAGGGGGATGTGCCCCTTTCTTCATTGCCATTTTGGACATGTGAAAGGCTAAAAATGACCCCAGGTCGATTATAAGGTAATGTGTAACCAACGCTGAAAAGCCTTTGACTCTATCTCAATCCATTGAGAAGTTGCATCACTTTGAAATCAATTTTGATGGAAAAAATAAAAGCAAAATAGTAATTTTTGGCAATTTTGAGATGTCCCCTCGTTGCCATGGTAACTGAGAATGTGGTTACAAAGGCAATGGTCCAGTCCACATTTGTGCCAAGTTTGATTAGTATTGAAGCATTTTTCATAGTTTCATAGCAGTTTGAACTTGTAACAGGAGGCTTTTCAATGAAAATGGCCATTTTGGCCGGGTTGCACTGGTGCAAACCCGGGTTATAGTATGGTGAATGTCGGGCGGCCGACGGTGGGCGGCGGGCGGGCGGGGCAAAAACTTTCGTAAACAGTTTTCTCAGCAACTACTTATCACAGCCTTTTAATATTTGGTATACAGCATCAACTTATGATCCCATACTGTGGGATTCCATTTCAGGTCTGTCGCTCATCTACTTCCTGTTTGCTGACTTAGTTAAATTTTCAACATTAATGGTCAATGGCAGGAAATTTTAGTAACAATTTTCTCAACAACTACTTATCACAGCCTTTTGATATTTGGATTACAGCATTAACACATGGTCCCATACTGTGGGATTCGATTTCAGGTCTGTCGCTCATCTACTTCCTGTTTGCTGACCTAGTTAAATTTTCAACATTAATGGTCAATAGTAGGAAATTTTCGTAACAGTTTCCTCAGCAACTACTTATCGCAGCCTTTTGATATTTGGTATACAGCATCAGCACATGGTCCCATACTGTGGGATTCGATTTCAGGTCTGTCGCTCATCTACTTCCTGTTTGCTGACCTAGTTAAATTTTCAACATTAATGGTCAATAGCAGGAAATTTTCGTAACAGTTTTCTCAGCAACTACTTATCACAGCCTTTTGATATTTGGTATACAGCATCAACACATGGTCCCATACTGTGGGATTCGATTTCAGATCTGTCTCTCATCCACTTCCTGTTTTCCGACTTAAATTTTCAACATTAGTGGTCAATAGTAAGAAATTTTCGTAACAGTTTTCTCAGCAACTACTTATCACAGCCTCTTCATATTTGGCACACAGCATTAACATATGGTCCCATACTGTGGGATTCGATTTCAGGTCTGTCTGTCCTCAAATTCCTGTTTGCTGACTTAGTTAAATTATCAACATTAATGGTCAATGGCAGGAAATTTTCGTAACAGTTTTCTCTGCATTTACTTATCAC